AGGCATTTTGTTTACGTTTTTTTGCTTAATTTTTCATTATTTTTCAACGTAAGAGAGGTTTTCCTACAATTCAAGCATCAAATTATGTCCAAGGAGTGTAGGGTTTGGGAATTATGGCAGTTAAAAAATATATATAAGGCGTATTTCAAGCTCTCCTCCACTCTAGGTGTGACATCACGCAGGGCCGGCCCTAGACATTTTGGTGCCCTAGGCGAGATTATGATTTGGTGCCCCCCGCCCCTCCAAGCAATACACAACAATGAGTGCATCAGACTGTCCAGCAAGCATTTCAAATGTTGAAGGTTTCTTTTGAACTCAGATTTGTCTTTATTATTAATATTATTAGTGTGTGTGTGTGTGTGTGTGTGTGTGTGTATTCCCTTCTTATCATGTAGCCTACACTTCTTCCTTTCATTGATACATTTAAATCACCTGACTACAGCATATAACATACCTGCAACCCTGTGCTGCTTCTCTCTGCCTCACCCTCTATTGCTGGAGGCAGCTCCACCTCATCTGATCTCTGATATGAAAGCAATCGTGTTATGATCATATTGAGCTATTGGTGTGAGTCTAACATTAAACAAGCAGTCTGCTTGTCATACATTGCTGACGATACATTTTAAGAGGCAATTTGTTGAGTCACTGCCGCTAAATGCCGGTAGCATCAAGCTAGCAAATCCTGCATTAGCCTCACATCAACAGGTGTAGACAGAACATCCAATTATCCTGAGCTAATTTACTGAATAAACCAACTCACATCTCCTGTCTTTTTTTTCACCCAACTCATTAGACTATTCTTCTGCTGGCGTTTCATTGTTGTTTTCTGTCAAATTCAATACTGTAGTTCAAAACCGCGGTACCTGCTCACCATCTGTGAGCTATTTTTAGAATGCGCACGCTACGTTCGTTGTCGCGCGCATCCGGGAAGGCTGTGTGTCCTTCTCCTCCGTGACGATAACGGCTTGAGGTTAAAATAATAATAAACGAATTTGAAACGGGGGGGGGACGACACACAAACGGGCAGACAGCAGAGCTCGGGGCAATAATGCAGATTTGTTTGACTTTTTTACACTTTGTTGTTCTCCTTTCCTCCGCTCTTGTCTCTGATTGTGAGTGTGTGCATTCGTGTGTGTGTGTGTGTGTGGGGGGGGTGAGCGGAGCGGAGCCCCGCCCTTCAGAAACAGAGCGGAGGGAGAATGAGAATACGCAAAGCAGTGGACACTGAAACATGCACATACATTGGATAAATAACATAGGCGTTTAGTTTATTTAATAAAAGAGCACATGTTCAATGTGAAAAGTGACCGTAGATAGATTACTTCAGTTGCAATTTGGTGCTATATATATATATTTTCAGTGGCGAGCCGTGAGCTTTATACCAAGGCCCTCTGACCCCCACCCCTTCCCTCGAAAAAAAGAAAAAAAAATAGTTATTACGTCACAGCGTATACTTCAGCGGAATATCAAAACAACGGCCCAGGGTGCAAAACGCATCAATGACAGCGACCCTCTACCACACAAAACAACACCTGTGAACCCAATTTGTGTTCTTTGACATTGAAAATGATATTGCATTGTGTTTGTTACTTTCGTTGCAGTTGTATGTCTTAAGTGTAATTTGGCATGCTTTTATTTTGAAGGCGAGTTCACGCTGTTGACAGGAAGTTGTTGTTGCTATGGAAACAAGAAAAGTTTCACAGCAGGCGGAACTTGTCATAAAGTCTGCGATAATAAAACCCACCCATTTAGAGGGAAGATATGATTGGTCAATTGTACTGTCATTTGACATTACTCTCTCGTTCAGTTACTATAGCGGGCCCTCTGTGAATCGCAGAGAGGGCCAGACGAGCTTCTTTCATGTAACCCTTCACATTCAAACAGAGACTGAACAGGCAGATTCGAAGGATTTATTTTTTTGGAAATGTTATTTTATTAAATCAAGTTTTTTTTCGGTAAAACTAATGAAAAATATAACAAAAATAATATAAAAAATATATATATTTAAAAAATATATATATTTTTTTAATGTTTTTAAATATTATTTTTTGGAATATCTTAGGCCCTCACAGAGGGCCTAGAGCAGGGGTGTCAAACTAAATTTCATCGCGGGCCACATTAGCATTATGGTTGCACTCAAAGGGCCGGTTGTAACTATATAAATATACATATATAAATGTTTAATATATATATATATAAAATAATGTATTATATTACACTATTGCCTCTGAATTGTATTATTATCGGATAGGATAATAACTTAGTAATTAACTACCAACTACATCTGAAAGCAGAAGTCCAGGGCAAATAATTGCAAGTCTCTTCAGTGTGCATGTCACAAAACGAGATGCATTGTGGGACATGTAGTTTATGGGCAACCTGCTTCTGTAAAGTGGCATGTAACCGTATAATAAACGTATTATATTTTTTGCAAGCTCTTGCGGGGCCACATAAAATGAAGTCGCGGGCCGGATTTGGCCCCCGGGCCTTGAGTTTGACACCCCTGGCCTAGAGGGCCCTGACGGCTCGCCACTGTATATTTTTTTAATTAAATTTTTTTTTTTTAAACCAAAAAAACACCTTGAATTTCAGGCGGGGCGCGGGGCTCCGTTGGCAGGGCGCAGCGCCCCGCCAAGACAATGGTAGGGGAAACACTGCATCTCATCATTATGTTGTCTCCTTTATTCGTATCTCTTCCCTTTACTTAAAATAAAAACATTCTTACTTCTCTCTAGTGGTAACTATCCACACACATCACATGTGTTTGTGCTCTCACAATGGAAATATTCCCTTTAAAATAAAAACAAATCAACAACAAAATCACAGAATCAGTTTGAATAAGTTAAAACCATTCTACATACCCCCCTCCTATTTCCTTTAAAAAAGAAACAAATTACTGTCTGGTAGGGGTGTAACGGTTCACAAACATTTCGGTTCGGTACGTACCTCGGTTTTTAGGTCACGGTTCGGTACGTTTTCGGTACAGCAGAAACAATTATCACAAAACATAAAATATTTTTTAGGGTTTTTTAATTATTATTAAATTGTGAATAATGTATTCACTCAAATAAATACAAAATATAATACAATAAACATTAAGGTGCAGCATTTCGATGAACTGAAATAATCTGAATTTGAACTTGACTGTACTAGTACTCACAAAACATAAAATATTTGTTTTGGGTTTTTAATTATTATTAAACTGTGAATATTCACTCAAATAAATACAAAATATAATAAAATAAACATTAAGGTGCAGCATTTCGATGAACTGAAATAATCTGTACTTGAACTGTACTGTACTAGTACTCACCTAAGCAGCCATGACATTAGGCTTGTCATTGTATTTTCATGTTTTTTTTAAGAAAAATTAACTTGCTTGCCGAAAGGGCAGATCTGCTGGCACTAACAATGTCTCCTGCTGTGGAGAACACCCTCTCGCTAGGGACAGAGGTAGCAGATACAGCCAGGTAGCGCTTTGCTAACATGGCAACATAAGGATATTTGGCGTTTGTAATAGCTTTGGCTCGGTCTGAACTTTTTGCGAGTGTTGGAGGCTTAAATGCTAGTGGGAGTTGGGTTTGCACTTCAGTCACTTTTCTTTTTCGTCCCTCCCTACAGGCCGATCATGCAGACTACGTGGGGCCTCACCTTGCGGAGGGGGCCTCACCTTGCGGGGGGAGCCTCAACTGAGCCGCTGCGAGGCTCCACTAGCATGAATCTCCCGCCCCGGACACACAAGCATGCGGTTTGATTGGCTACAGCTTGTACCGGCATATGATTTGATTGGCTGACGCTTCCGTCGAAGCTTCAAAAGTTGAACATTGCTCAACTTTTGAAGCGAAGCGACGGAACCACAATGCAGTTCGGCAAAGCGGGACGTCACCCCATTCAAAGTGAATGGGCAGAAGTGTTGAAACTTCAACGCACGCCGCCGTGTGGACGGGCCGTAAGATTACTTCCAAAAAGTTGTTCACGTTCTCAATTGTTTACGTTTAACGTTATATTCGTTCGGTACACTTCGGTACACACGTGTACCGAACCGAAGGGCCTATACCGAATATTTTCGGTACGAATAAGTATACCGTTACACCCCTACTGTCTGGAAAACGTATTCTAACAGGTTAAGTCTACATTTAAGGAGAATGCTCTACTACTTTTGTTAAAATAGTGAGTGAGAAATAGCATGTCACTCCACCTAAGAATCACAAAGTCTTGTTACAGTATGTGCAGCATACAATGATGTGCCTCCTCCCTCTCCTCTGCCATCATTGGTCCATGCTCCGCTCAACACATTCAACCACCAGACCCTCTTCATACTCTCCAACAACTGGGACTCCCAGACCTCCTCTGTCTCTGATAGATTCTTGTCAGAATGTGAGCTAAATAAAATGTATTGCTGTCATGTAATAGGTGATGTTTGGAAGCAGGCTAGCTGTTTCCCTTGATTCTGCTTTTCAGATCAGTCATTTAAATAGCTTTATATATTTACAAGAGATTTAAATCCATTTAAAGAGGAGATGTTGTGCTCTTTTTCAGGTTCATATTTGTATTTATAATCTCTACTGTGAAATGTCTCCATGCTTTAATGTTCAAAAAGCTCTTTATTTTTCTTATACTGCCTGTGCTGCAGCACCTCTTTTCACCCTCTGTCTGAAACCAGAGCCCAGTCTGCTCTGATTGGTCAACTGCTGCCTACAATCTGTTGGAGCGCTAGCCAATAGGAGCATGAGTGTTACATAGCGATATCACTATGTTCCTGAAGTAAACAAAGGAGACCAATGGAGGCGTTTCAAGCAGTGGGGGGTGTGTGTGTGTGGGAGAGATACTCCCTCTGGAGGGAACACAGGGATTTTTGACTTTGCAGACCATTAACATGCACGAAAACCTATAGAACACACTACAGTAAAGTATCAAAGGGCCTATTTAAACATGTACTTTTCCAGAATAAAACTAAATCAGCTAATTTCTCAGTGATGATTTTGCAGTGTTGCACTGACCTGCAGCCGTATCTCCCTTAGGTTCCTCGTAATGTTGACAGAGTGAGGCTGTCCATTAGCCATGTTACGATGGTCAACATCTATGGTGTACGGTTCTGTTAGCCCCCCGAGACTGTAGCGGATCTGGAGAGTGCCTGGACACACACACAAACACAGGCTAATAAATATATATTTTTATATTGTTGTAAGAAATGGATCAGGTCCAATGATGAGCCCACCGTTGTGTCGGAGCACCACTGCTAGGTAGTCCTGAGTCCTGGAGCTTACGTAGACGAGGATGCTGGGGGTGCTGGAGGTGCTGAAGCTGAACACCAGCTCCTCCTGGGTCAGATTGGCATCACCACGAACACCAAGTTCTGAGAGGCTCTTCCCCTCCTGCAACACGTTTGCTGCCGCCTCCAGCAGGAAGTCATAACGCACTAGGGTCCCCGTCTCAAAGTATCCTCCTACATCTAACAAACACAAGAAGGATTGTTGCTCCCAAGGGTGTCACTTGGTGTTGAAAAGTGATGGGGACAGAGTGAGTGGTCTAAGGATCTCCAAGTCATCTTCAACATGTACACGTTTAGACAATGTAAGTGGGGGATCAGTTTGAGGTCAGAGTAGATACTGTATTTATCAAGATTGAAACAAAAGATGAAAGTATGTCAGGAAATGTTTAAAGCCACTGATTGGTACATGCATGATTTCCGTAATTTTATAATAAGTAATCTAGACAGGTTTTTTTTATTGTACTTTTTGATAAACATTTATTAAAAAAAGTAAACTTTAAAAAAGGTAATGGGGACAAAACCAGCCATTTTGTGGTGGGGACATTTGCCCTCCATCCCCAGTGTAAATGACGGTTGCATCTGATCTATCTAATGAATAACATCATCTAAACTTTGGGATGCAGCGTGTTGGAGGCCGTACCATCGGAGCAGAAGGGTCCATCGTACGCAGTGAGGGAGCAGTCACACAAGTATCCGTTGTACTGCTCAACACACTTCCCTCCGTTCCTGCAGTGCATCCCGAAGCTGCTGCAATGACCCTGGCAGCCTGGATTCACCCCTGGAGATACCTGTGCCCTCTCTTCCAGGTCAAAAGTCAGACCATTTATCTTCAGAGCCCGTATGCAGCCCAGGAAGCCTCTCTGACCACTGGATGCCCCTGGAAATATGACATTAGTCACAAGTTTCTTCATTCAAGCTGCACTGCCACTGGCTCATTAGAATGCATGCATTACATTCATGCAAACAATATATTGTTCATTTTAATACTGTCAAGACTGCACAACCCTCTGAATTGTGCACATTGCACACAAAGGTAGTTTTTTAAATATTTTTTTAATGTTTTGGTCCTTTTGTAACAATTTATCTTCTTTGACTGTGTTTATGTATGCACCATACACACCGAGGTAAATTCCTCATATCTGGGAATAAACCTGCTTCTGATTCTGATTTCTGAAACTGTGTGAAATGTAAAAATGCAGGTAAAAAGCACAGACACTTTTTACGTATTTCTTTAGAATAAGTTGTTTTCCATCAATAACGAAATTCGACAAAATAATTATAGTTATAAAGACATACTGTATATAGCTTTCATTAACTGGCACACAGTTTGTTCATCATGACAAACGTCACAGGGATCCTTAGAATCATTCTGCCAGAATCCCAGTGGGACTCCCTGATGAGGTAACATTTAGTCACATCTCACATTTTTCTTTTGTGTTAATGGTCATGTAAAGCACTTTGATTTGCCTTTGTGTCTGAAATTTGCTCTATAAATAAACTCACCGTAACCTCTGCTGATACACTCCAAAGACATTTCTCAGCTGTGGACAGTACAGTACTAGATGTGTGTCTTACCAACATAAAGCTCACTGTAGAACTCCAGTTTTGTGTGTCCATGGGGGGGCATGGGTCGGACCTCTCTGTACTGTCCATCAAGCTGCAGCAGGACCTCCTTGATGTTCTTCTGTGCCTCCAAGTGATGCCACTGGTCATCGTTCAGAGGCAGCGGCGAGCGGACGCTGAGCTCCACCCGCTCACCGCCTACATCAAAAGAGAAGGAGACCACCGAGCCCCCTGGGAGCACCACACTCAGATCAGCACTGCCACATGTGAAAGATCAACTCACACTAAACACAGGGTCCTAATGTCCTGGTGTGAAATTACTCAAACCAAAACAAATGAAGAACAATGTATGCCCCTGCTTCTAGTCTTTATCCCCCTGTTTCTAGTCTCTAGTCTTTATGCCCCTGCTTCTAGTCTCTAGTCTTTATGCTCCTGTTTCTAGTCTCTAGTCTTTATGCTCCTGTTTCTAGTCTCTAGTCTTTATGCCCCTGTTTCTAGTCTCTAGTCTTTATCCCCTGTTTCTGGTCTCTAGTCTTTATGCCCCTGCTTCTAGTCTCTAGTCTTTATCCCCCTGTTTCTGGTCTCTAGTCTTTATGCCCCTGCTTCTAGTCTCTAGTCTTTATGCTCCTGTTTCTAGTCTCTAGTCTGTATGCCCCTGTTTCTAGTCTATAGTCTTTATGCCCCTGTTTCTAGTCTCTAGTCTTTATGCTCCTGTTTCTAGTCTCTAGTCTTTATCCCCCTGTTTCTAGTCTCTAGTCTTTATGCCCCTGTTTCTAGTCTCTAGTCTTTATGCCCCTGTTTCTAGTCTCTAGTCTTTATGCTCCTGTTTCTAGTCTCTAGTCTTTATGCTCCTGTTTCTAGTCTCTAGTCTTTATCCCCCTGTTTCTAGTCTCTAGTCTTTATGCCCCTGCTTCTAGTCTCTAGTCTTTATGCTCCTGTTTCTAGTCTCTAGTCTTTATGCTCCTGTTTCTAGTCTCTAGTCTTTATCCCCCTGTTTCTAGTCTCTAGTCTTTATGCCCCTGCTTCTAGTCTCTAGTCTTTATGCTCCTGTTTCTAGTCTCTAGTCTTTATGCTCCTGTTTCTAGTCTCTAGTCTTTATGCCCCTGTTTCTAGTCTCTAGTCGTTATGCCCCTGTTTCTAGTCTCTAGTCTTTATGCTCCTGTTTCTAGTCTCTAGTCTTTATGCCCCTGTTTCTAGTCTCTAGTCTTTATGCTCCTGTTTCTAGTCTCTAGTCTTTATGCCCCTGAAACTAGTCTCTAGTCTTTATCCCCCTGTTTCTAGTCTCTAGTCTTTATGCCCCTGCTTCTAGTCTCTAGTCTGTATGCTCCTGTTTCTAGTCTCTAGTCTTTATCCCCCTGTTTCTAGTCTCTAGTCTTTATGCCCCTGCTTCTAGTCTCTAGTCTTTATGCTCCTGTTTCTAGTCTCTAGTCTTTATGCCCCTGTTTCTAGTCTCTAGTCTTTATGCCCCTGTTTCTAGTCTCTAGTCGTTATGCTCCTGTTTCTAGTCTCTAGTCTTTATGCTCCTGTTTCTAGTCTCTAGTCTTTATGCTCCTGTTTCTAGTCTCTAGTCTTTATGCTCCTGTTTCTAGTCTCTAGTCTTTATGCTCCTGTTTCTAGTCTCTAGTCTGTATGCCCCTGTTTCTAGTCTCTAGTCTTTATGCCCCTGTTTCTAGTCTCTAGTCTTTATGCCCCTGTTTCTAGTCTCTAGTCTTTATGCTCCTGTTTCTAGTCTCTATGCCCCTGTTTCTAGTCTCTAGTCTTTATGCCCCTGCTTCTAGTCTCTAGTATTTATGCTCCTGTTTCTAGTCTCTAGTCTTTATGCCCCTGCTTCTAGTCTCTAGTCTTTATGCTCCTGCTTCTGGTCTCTAGTCTTTATGCCCCTGCTTCTAGTCTCTAGTATTTATGCTCCTGTTTCTAGTCTCTAGTCTTTATGCTCCTGTTTCTAGTCTCTAGTCGTTATGCCCCTGCTTCTAGTCTCTAGTCTTTATCCCCTGTTTCTAGTCTCTAGTCTTTATGCTCCTGCTTCTAGTCTCTAGTCTTTATGCCCCTGTTTCTAGTCTCTAGTCTTTATGCTCCTGCTTCTGGTCTCTAGTCTTTATGCTCCTGCTTCTAGTCTCTAGTGTTTATGCCCCTGTTTCTAGTCTCTAGTCTTTATGCTCCTGCTTCTAGTCTCTAGTCTTTATCCCCCTGTTTCTAGTCTCTAGTCTTTATGCCCCTGCTTGTAGTCTCTAGTCTATATGCTCCTGTTTCTAGTCTCTGGTCTTTATGCTCCTGTTTCTTGTCTCTAGTCTTTATGCCCCTGCTTCTAGTCTCTAGTCTTTATTCCTGTGCTTCTTGTCTCTAGTCTTTATGCCCCTGTTTCTAGTCTCTAGTCTTTATTCCTGTGCTTCTTGTCTCTAGTCTTTATGCCCCTGCTTCTAGTCTCTAGTCTTTATTCCTGTGCTTCTTGTCTCTAGTCTTTATGCCCCTGTTTCTAGTCTCTAGTCTTTATGCTCCTGTTTTTAGTCTCTAGTCTTTATTCCTGTGCTTCTTGTCTCTAGTCTTTATGCCCCTGTTTCTAGTCTCTAGTCTTTATTCCTGTGCTTCTTGTCTCTAGTCTTTATGCCCCTGCTTCTAGTCTCTAGTCTTTATTCCTGTGCTTCTTGTCTCTAGTCTTTATGCCCCTGTTTCTAGTCTCTAGTCTTTATGCCCCTGTTTCTAGTCTCTAGTCTTTATGCTCCTGCTTCTAGTCTCTAGTCTTTATGCCCCTGTTTCTAGTCTCTAGTCTTTATGCCCCTGCTTCTAATCTTATGCCCTGTTTCTTGTCTCTAGTCTTTTATGCCCCTGTTCTAGTCTCTAGTCTTTATGCCCCTGTTTCTAGTCTCTAGTCTTTATGCCCCTGTTTCTTGTCTCTAGTCTTTATTACATTACATTACATGTTACTTGTTAGACGCTTTTATCCAAAGCGACTTACATACCCAATATTGTGGGCAATCCCCACAGGAGCAATTTGGGGTGAAGTGTCTCAGGGACACAACGACATGCTGACTGCAGTGGGGTTTGAACCTGTGCCCCCCTGATCCCAACACCAATGCACTACCCACTGCGCCACAGCCTCCCATTTATGGCTCCTGCTTCTAGTCTTTTTAAATTGTATTGGCAAAGAAGAAGCATGCACACACACACACACACACACACACACACCACACACACACACACACACACACACACAACACACACACACACACCACACACACACACACACACCACACACACACACACACACACAACACACACACACACAACACACACCACACACCACACACACACACACACACACACACACACACACACACACACCTACCTCTGAGTTCAATGTGAAGGAAGCTAGTTGTTCCTAGGTTCTCTAGAAAGACTCCACGGGTGGAGGAGGTCTTGAAGTAGAAGGATATGTCGGTGCTGGTCTCTCCTCTGAAGGACGGGAAGCGGAGGGAGGAGGCCGGGCTGCTGAAGGACGCTGCATTCCAGAAGCTCCCTTCGGAAAACAACAGCAGGCCATGCATGAACATACCAATGTTTCTGTAATGATACGTCAAGTCTCTGTGAAAGATAGATGCGTGTTTGCATGATGAAGGTGTGTGTGTTTTATTCTAAAAGAGAGAGCAAGAGAGAGAGAGACACTCACGGTCCCCCTGGCATTTGAGTGGCCCTACAGTCAGTTTGGCCTCAGATCCAGCTCTGCTCGTATCACCAACCACAACCTGACTGACCGGCAGGTGGTCCTTATACACCAACAGGCCTGCATCCTCCCTCCTACACACACACACACACACACACACACACACACACACACACACACACACACACACACACACACACACACACACACACACACACACACACACACACACACACACACACACACACACACACACACACACACACACACACACACACACACACACACACACACACACACACCATTGATTTCAAAGTAAACACAACTGACGTATTAACAAAATATGTCTACTGCATCATTTAGCTGTGCAGATAAAGGACTTCGCTTATAAGAGTTAATCAACATACAAATTCAACAAGGAAACTGCCCTACAGAATGCAACTAACTTTTCAAATAACAACTGTAATCGTCAATTCATAAAAAAGATTCAAGTGGAGCATTATACCCCCCTTTGTCAAATGGACAGAACAGATGGGGGTCCACTCACCATGAGCGCAGGTCAGCGTCACAGTTGCAGTAGTGTTTGGCGTCAGTACAGTTGTGTTCGATACCACAGGAACACTTCTGTATGCCTGGTCCTGAGCCCCCCCAGTAAGAATGCCTCTCATTGGCTCTTCCTACCCACCAGGTATAAGGGGCACCATCTAAGTCAGACCATCAGCTTGGAGTCATTTTTCAATTCAAAATGTTTTAGTTCAGACACATGCTTTACCTTGAAAATATCAGTAGTATTTTCTACAGTACAATTCACACCAAAACATATCAGTTACACAGAACTGTTAACCACGTGCACTTTATCTCAACTGTTTTGATAGAGTTTACATCTGAATGAGTCTTCAAACAGTGTGACTGAAGGGTATAACATTAGCTCACTCTCATGGTTTATAATAGGTGATGGCAAACCACCAACACAGAGCACACACCTAAACCTGTTGTCGGTTTAAGAGTGAGTATTTACATGCATTTAATTGTGCAGATGTGCATTAATATGTGCCATAATTGTGTTACTGACTGTACTTTTTGCTGACATTGTGCTCATGTGGTTTCTATGCTTGTGTGCTCTTATATGTATCTATTTATTCCATCATCCTCCTGGCACTGCAGACAACAATTCTGCCATATTTACATAATGGGCTCAAGTGTTCATGTAATTACGTACAATGTCCCTTCTTATATAAATTAATTCAAAAATTCCCTGAAGAGTCCATTGGTTAATGGTTAACGTGCATCATATATCTGCATGCAGTTTTACCTGGAGTGTTGAGCAGGCGGGACATCCTGCAGGCGTAGCCCACGTACTGCTCACAGTACTCTGCACTGCTGGACACTGACAGCAGCTGCACTCACAGGAAGGACACACAAACAGAACTTCTTTCTATGTTTTCTTTTGTTATACAAGGTTAATGTTATTTTTAAACTGATACATGTTTTACCTTCATTGCACAACACAGTGTAAAATAAATGTAAAAAAAAATACCTCAACTAGTGACTGTATTCTATTAGTAGCACCAATGCAAAGCACACAAATACTTCAAGTTCTCCACTCTGAACACAACAAGACAAAGTGTGCAGCCAGGTGGCTAACAGTAGGTGTGTAGTCATTGTGTACCTGTTCATCAGTCACATTGTAAGTGATCTGCAGCACTGCCTTCCCCTCCTGCTCTGAGCTGGTGACTGATGTCTGAGGAGAGAGGTTGTTCTTCAGCATCGTCCAAACCTTTCCCTCTAAAGCCCCAGAGAAATACCAGCATTAGTATCATATGACAGATAGATGTTTCTATACCACAGTAGTTACATGTATTTTGACATTCACAAAAACACACATAATAATAATAAAGGGAAAAAATTGTTTTTGTTTAAGAGCCTGTGTCCACATAGCGCTGCTAGGGCGCTAGGGAGGTCGCCCTCCCAGCATCAGAATAGTGTTCCCAGCACTTTTTTAATGTCTCTATGACAACGAATTATCATCGCTGTTGTAAGATAAGCGAGCATGGCACCCCTGGGTTTTTAAAAAAATCTATTTGTGCTACTATATATTTGTCTGACAGGTTTTTTACCATTAACACCAATGATATGGTTATTGCTCTCACACTTTGACTGAATGGTCTGTCAAAGCTCATTCTGAAAGCCGTAGAGCGAGGAGTACGATCTCGGTATGGAGGTAAAAGTCAACATCCATTGCTTGCTTAAACAATCCTTTAGGTCTTTGTTTTGATAGTTTCTATTTAAAATATATGGTCAAAAACAACTGGCTTCTCCTCCAATGTATACAGTGACATCATCAGAGCTTTCCTGAAAAGTTGAAATATTTTCATCCGGAAGCACCACCAGTCGCACAAAAACGGGGATGCGCTTGAAAAAACATTTTCTCAAGATGGCTGCGCTTTCTCCTCTTTGGAAAAAATGGACAAAAGGCACTGGCGTTCAGAAAAAGGTGCCATGTTTTTTAAGCTCAGGAGTTGAAAGAAGAATTTTGTGTAAAATGTTTGGGCAAACATTGACAAGCGCTGTTCTGGTCTTTTGTTGCTGTATTACCATGGGTGGCATGTACAAATATGTTTAAACCTTTTCAGCGACATCTCACCTGTCATGTCACAGTGGACTCTGAAGGGGGCGATAGATCCACTGCCGTCTGGGTCAATCCAGAAGCTCCCTGAGCTCTTCCCCTGGTGCTGATACTCCTCACAGGACTGTGGATACATGGCTACAGAGGAGACACATGGGTCAGCACACACAGATCAGTTAGTGTGCTTGTGTGGCGTGTGCGAGCATGCATGTGCACTTACATGTATGGCAGGTGGCTCCAGTGTATCCTGTGCCACTACAGTTGCAGCTGAATGTATCCCACGTCTGAGAACAGCGCCCGTCGTGCTCACAGTAATTAGGAACACACCTAATAAAGAAGGGAGGGATAGTGGGAGGATTCTCATGAGAACCTGTTTCAAACCTACCGTATTTGCTGTTAGGCACCAGAACAACCAACTGAACCTTCATCCATTCTTAGATTTGTTCCAATCTTATGTTTATACCTGTCTATAATGGCACACATATCCAGGCTGACATTTTCAAATGTTCCAATGAGGCCCTGCTCCACAGCCCTGAGGTCAGCCAGATGGTCGTCTATGTGGATCATCTGCATGCAGCCCTGAAAGGAGCGCTGAAGGGATCGAGTGTTGCCGTGCAGAACGTTTCCTGAAGGCAAGCGGAGAAGGTCAAAAGTCTTTAATATAACACTAAAGATCTTATAGAATGAACTTTGCTGCGACTGAACAGTTTGTATGTGCTGCATCTTCTCCTGCTGTGTCACCCCTATGACTGTAGGCAAGATATTAGAAACATTCAGGTCCTGAGTCTAAAGTGTCTAGAGACAGATTACAGATTACATTATTTACTACAACCTTTTCAAGACACATACAAGTTACAACAGACAGTTAGTAATGTTTTTGAGGAATCACCTCCAAAGTGGTAGGTTCCTCCAGTCTGGATCTGGATTGGGATGGCTGTTCTCACTGTGGAGGCCTCGTCTCCATCAACTGTCAGCATAGCATAGTTCTCCAAAGCATTCAGATGGACACTGTGCCACTGGCCATCATTCAGACCTGAGCCTGCAAGGTAAACCACACTTCAGTCTATAAACACGTATGTAATATCTTTCACAGCGCTTTTTTAAATGTATAATAATGTCATAAATATGTTCAACAACAGACCTTATTCCAACTTATTTCCCCTCACACACCGGCTAGAAAAAATGATTTTATAAAAGTTGTACACTGTACACTGACTATCCAGCTCCAGTGCGGTTTGCAGAAGTCCACAGAATGGAATGACATTAATACCACTGTAAAAATGTCTCTGTGTCTGTCCTCCAAAAGTGCTCAAAGCAGCATTTGTCGAGCACATATGTCAAAGCTTGAATATAGTAAATGTCAAACATTTCGGTTTAATATATCTTAGCATTTAGAAGTTAGGGTTAGATTAATTTCGTTTTTGGGGTATTGGTAATGGTAGATGTTTTTTAGTTTGTATTTATTTATATAAGAAGGGACAATGCACATTAATTAACATGAGCATGTGAGTCCATCATGAAAATGCCAGATTTAGCCATAGAGGCTAATTCTCATCTGCAGTCCCTGGCAGGTTGATGGCATTCAAAAAAACTAAAACAAACAAGAGTTTGCACAGATAAAAGCACATGAGCATGATTGAAAGCCCAAAATAAAGCAGACAAAAACAAAACCCATTAAATACGCTTCTGTGTAATACATGAACTCTCTCCAATCAAACATGTGTTCTTGAATCAAATACATTTAACTTAAAGGGGACCTATCATGCAAAATGCACTTTTGTACGTCTTTTATACATGAATATGTGTCCCCGGTGTTCCAGGGAACTCACCAAGTGTCAGAAAACACAACCCTCTCTATTTTCCTCCATACCCAAATCTCTAAAAAAGGGGCTGCAACGGATCTGATAAAAACTGATCCAGATTTGAACACTGTCCTGACGTCAGGACAGTGGCGCTACGGCTATTGGGCCAACTCCACCAATCAGGAGGAGACAGCCACGGCCATTGCCGTTCTAAAGCGCTGGAGACGCTGTAGTACATATGCCAGGCCAGTAGATGGTGCTGTTCTCACAAAATCAGCCCTTGCAAAAACAGAGCTATAAATGGTCAAATTGAGCAAAATGAGGCATGGCTAAAATGCATGATCTGTTTGGTATTTTGAAAAAAAAAAAGTATAAATATGCCTTATATAGGTATGGTCCTACACTATATTATTCAAATATAGCATGATAGGTCCACTTTAAAGATAACATGTAAAATATAAAAAAATATGAGGAAAGCAGCGATAAAAACAATTGAATTAAAAGTGCTAACTTATTGAAGATCTGAGGGTTCCTGAACATCCATTCTGAAGATCAATGATCTGAGCAAACCTGATGAGATGTCAATACGCGTGTTCTTCTTCTGTGTGACATTCATGTAGACGGTGACCTTGCCCTCCGTCAGTCCCACCTCCACCCAGCCATCAGCTAGTGCGGTGAACATCAGCAGCCCGTTGGGATTCCAGGTCCTGAACGACAGACTGACGGACAGCGTGTCGCTGTCAGTCTGACCCGGCAGCCGCAGGAAGGACGTGGAGTTGAAGAAGACGGAGAAGGAGTTGGCCTCAGCACAAGAAAATGTCAGGTTACGCTACAGAGGAGAAGAGACACAGAGACAGACTTGAGCTGTTACAGCAGCTCTAATTATGAGCAGTAATACATCAACAACGGATCTAGTTACAAGTTGACCTTATTTATGGATATTACTTAAAGTGGACCTGTCATGCTATATTTGAAACATATATTGCAGCCCAAAATAAAGCAAACAAAAACAAAACCCATTAAACACGCTTCTGTGTAATACATGAACTCTCTCCAATCAAAGATGTGTTCTTGAATCAAATATCATGCTATATTTGAAACATATATTGTAGGGCCATACCTATATAACACATGTCTGTGAAGTTTTTTTTTCAAAATACCAAACAGATCATGCATTTTAGCCATGCCTCATTTCGCTCTATTTGCTCTTTTCCAGCCCTGTTTTTGCAAGGGCTGATTCTGTGAGAAGTCTTCTTCGCTGCTTTTGTGGCAGACTACAGCGCCACTTACAGGCCTGGCATATGTACTACAGCATCTCCAGCGCTTTCGAACGGTCTCTCATTCCCCTGATAGGTGGAGAGTTGCCCATATAGGCGGAGCACCCCTTTTCTGACGTCAGAAAAATTCAAATAATAATCAGCTCCGTTGCAGCCCCGTTTTTAGAGATTTGGGTATAGAGGAAAAGAGAGGGTTGTGTTTTCTGACACTTGATGAGTTCCCTGACACACCGGGGACACATATTCATGTATAAAAGACGTACAAAAGTGCATTTTGCATGATAGGTCCCCTTTAAATATAATGCATGCATGAGTGTGGAAATGTAGTTAGTAGAATTCTAACCTACTGTAAACACACACACACACACACACACACACACACACACACACACACACACACACACACACACACACACACACACACACACACACACACACACACACACACACACACACACACACACACACACACACACCACACACACACACACACACACACACACACACACACACACACACACACACACACACACACACACACACACCCCATTGATTTCAAAGTTTTCTTACAAAGCTGGAGGTGTCCACCTTCTTCCTGCGGACCAGGTTGGTGATGTTGTCTCCGTTGTAGGTGATTCCCTCCATGCAGCCCACAAAGTTATCTACGCCTCCGGAGCTGGGCTTTGCTGAAACAGGGTGCCCCCCGAAACTGATCTGAGGACAGGCAGCAGAGCGACAGAGACTAAATTAAACTCATCCCACCCCCATGTTTATTGTACTACTGTGAGAAACACACACTTACCGGCCGGAACTCTCATTACTTAATTAGCTTTCACTTAAGACATTTTAACATAACAACAAAACAAAACTCTCTCTAAACTTTGGTGTACAGAGAGATTTAGTTTTTGTTTTATCGCCATTGATTTGCTTCTGTTGTGCATCCAAGCCACTGTTGCGCAGCAACTATATGGCTGCCTTGTTTCCAGCAGAGAGAAGCTAATCATGCTAAAACAGGCTAGCATAGTGGTCCGAACAATGGCTATCCCCACTGAAATCTGGAGAAGGACACAGGGGGTGCCGTGTAACCCAGAAGAGACGAAGGAGGCATTTTGGTTACAGATTAATGGAGACAAGAGACGTACAATCACTGGATAATGGGAATGAACAAACTACAGGTGTTAGCCAGGAGTCAGACACAATATCAGGAGTGTAGTTTAATGTGCTTTACGGAAACATGGCTGCTTCAGGATATATCTGATATTCCTTTGATGGCTTCCGAACTGTACGGACTGTAATTTACCTCATGGTCCAGGTCCAGGTGGTCAAACTCTCCATTGGTCCTGAACTGCTGAGTGTGATGGTCGAGTGTGAAGTTAACATTCCTTCGGTAGCGCTCTATGACGACTGAGTGCCAGTGGTCATCATCTAGTAAGCTCCCACTGGTCACAGATGTGTGACCCTGGATGGAACCATACTGGTCACTTCCTGGAGAGCAGCAAGTAAATCACACAGAGAAAGATTGTACAAGTTTATCATGGCATTATCATGCAGCAGTATCAGCAGTATAATATAGTCCTTAAAACCGCAATAGAATAGAAAAGGTTCTCTGTTGTGAACATGCTTGCTACCTAGGTTGAGGCTGAGCTGCAGTCTGGCCCTGCGCAGCTCCAAAGAGATGTAGTCCCCCTGCTGTCCCTCTCCGTGGAGCAGGACCCCGGCTCCAGCTGTGGTTCTGAACTTAAGAGAGATCACATCCTTCACAATCTTTATCTTCTTACTCCTGAAGTGGTAGGAGATGACACCATGGCCATCAAAACTGATCACATCTGCCCCTGGAAGAAAATGAGAAAATCACAAAAAAGGTTCAGACAATTATCTTTCCTGCCAAAAGAACAGATCATGGAAGCGGGGTCATCATTGTGCCTCCTTGCTGGATCGTGGGAAAGTGTTTCCCTTTTCCCTGCATTTCTTTAGTGCTCATCACAGCTAGTGCTTAGAAAACGTTTTCAAATGGGGATTAGAAATTCAAATAGATTTGAATGGAGATGACACAACATAAAAATTACACTGTTGTACACATGCACATAACAATGTAGATGCTAAACGCGTAATTCTGCATTTGATGTGCGGGGTGGGTGGGGGTAATAGTAGACTTGAAGAATAGCCGCTAATAAAAGCTTTGCTAATTTTGTGGTGAACATTTAATTTCCTATACATTCTTCACACTAAAAGCTTTTGTTATTTTGATATTTGAAGGCTTTTGTGGTGAAGCAGAACAATCTATCAAAGCTGGTTCATTACCGCTGTTCATCAACAGTAAATCAACACTACTCCTATATGGATAAAAGGGTACACTAAACTTAACTAAGCTCCAAAGAAGGAAAATATGAAGTTACAAAAATACTTTTAAAAACGGCTCTGTGTCTGGTCTCCTGCGACACACACTTTCTGTCAGGGTGGACAATGGTAGGGGAAACACTGTATGTAAAACTTTGTGAATCCCAGATGACCCACGAAATAAGGAATAGTAATCCAACATTATTCATACAATCATCCCACATCATATACATAATCAACATTAAATAGTGTGAATGCTGTGCAACAGCATTCCACTATAGTTCTTATTTTCTTTATTCTTCCGTCTTCTTCTTATTAGTGCGAATGCTGTTTACAGCATTCCACTATAGTTCTTCGAATCTTTATTCTTCCTCTTCTAATTATTTCAACCAATACTTTAGCTCTCAATAACTTCAGCATACTTTCAGCTACAGAAACCATTCAAATATCAAAATATTCAGCCTTTTCAGCAATCGATGGGAAACTTTCAACTTTTTCAAAATATTTCATACTTTTTGAAATATTCAGCTTTTTAAACTCTTTTTTTAACATGTAACTCAATGGGAGGAACCTTCAAATCCTCTTTTACCTACACCTTGCGCCAAATGCTTCTCCTTCCACATACTTGCAGCTAGAGACTTCATTCCAACTTTAAAATGATCGCAAGACCTTCAGCTATTAAGATCTTATTCAGATTTTTGATATCTTTTACACTTTTTGAGATATTTAACTTAGTTTGGAGCTTGGTAAAAAGGCTTTCTTCAGATTTTAACATGAGTGTGTCAATTGGGCAGCTCGTTAAGGGTTAGAGTGCTTTGATCTCAAAACAGAGTGGAGGAGAGCTTGAAATTCGCCTTACATTTTTTTTTTAAACTGCCATAATTCCCAAACCCCACACTCCTGGGACATCATTGTAGGCTTGAATTGTAGGAAAACCTCTCTTACGTTGAAAAATTAAAACAAAAACATTAAACAAAATGCCTCTTGGGGGCATGAAGTGACCAAAAAGTACAAAAAAGCACACATAGACACTCCCCAGGGTCCTGAGACGCTCCACGCGTTGAAGTTTTACCGATATCTGCTACACAGACACACACACAAACACTGGATGTCTCTAATACATATGCACGCACACACACACACACACACACACACACACACACACACACACACACACACACACACACACACACACACACACACACACACACACACACACACACACACACACACACACACACACACACACACACACACACACACACACACACACACACACACACACACACACACACACACACACACTCCTTCAGCCTACTTTCAGCTACAGAAACCATTCAACTTTTACATTATTCAGCTATGTCAGGACATTGAGGATATACATTTTGTTGTTTATACCTTTTTTAAACCTTTTCTTTTAAATATTAAGCTTCTTCACTATTTTTACTACTTTTCCAGTTTAACATTTCACTTTCAAGTTTTCAACAAAGTCATTGCAATGCATTTGAGCTGTAACAATTTGATTCAAATCATTTCACTTTCCTGCATTTCTCCGCTAAGTTCAGCAACACACTTTTTGTAGCTAAAAGCAGCTACAGAGACCATTCAGCTAATAACATATTCAGCTTTTTCTGCATTTACAGCTAAATTCAGCAACAAATGTATACAGTTTACAGCATTCACACGCATTTTCAGCAGGAAATGCATTTTCTAGTTATGAATAGCTATTCCCAAAAGGATAGTGTTGTTTGTTGTGTGTGGAGGTGTGTATGCATCACTTTAATTCAAATAAACCACAGTGGTAATGAGGGAACATGTGTGGCTCATTGATGTGTTTTCCTATACTCTTTGTACATCAGAAAAGCAACCTCTACAGCGCAGAGGAACAGATCAGGCATAGGATCAAATGTGGCCCCTTCGTTTCTCATACACTGCAGGAGCTATTCTCACCGGTAGGCTGTGGAGTACTGCTAAATGATATAAATCAATAAAAAAATTCTAATGCTGGAAATAAACAAAACTATATATTTTTTATTTCTCAATGTTACTAATACATTTCAAATTACGTTGGAAAATTACCACACTAATCACTTCAGGGAAAGATAAAAATTTTTGTTCTTGTTCTTGGATGCAGTGACACAAATTGAAAATGGTTTTGAAACAAAAAATGATGCAGGAGACAGTACTACCACAAATAAAAGCTCCAAAGTGTCTGATGAGGAAATAAATACTATTTCCCTGATGGCTCCCACAGGATTGTTGACATCCTCGTGGAGTGTTGACTAACTCAGTGAGGGGCCGCTGGCAAGTTGCTGCCGCGCCTCCTCCGTTGTCTGTCGATTGTTTCGTGTTGTTTCATCTCGATCTATTGAATGTTGTCTTGTGCAACTGGACTCCAAACCCGTCTGTTACAAACCCGCCTGTCCCATCTAACATTGTGACGATTAATTTAGCCGTTTAACAGTCTGTACACCGTACGCGCTAGTGCTACTGTGCTGTCACTCGGTAGCTTGAAGCTAGCCGCGCCGGTACACGGCTCACCGTACTGGACTACTTGGGCCCCTTTGTGCTGTGCTCTCTTTCACCGGATAGCCTGATCTGGTGCGCCCTACAAAGCACACCTGTTCGGATCTGTCCGCTGCCATTGTGCCAGCTCTCCTGGGTGCAAATCTCTGCCTGTGGATTGCTGTTAACACGGAGGCCGCCCCACACAGGTTAGCCACTACCGGCTAACCTGTCACTCGTCTTCAGCGCCGTATGTCTGGTTTCTCCGCCTCGAGAGAAAACCTGCTGCTACAACCAACACGACTACTCCTCCGCCTCAGCAGTAGGGCTGCTCAATTAATCGTATTTTAATCGCAATTACGATTATGGCTTGCAACGATTACAAAAACAACGTAATCGAAATAAAACGATTATTTTTTTATTATTATTATTACTTTTCTTTCTTTTTTAATTACATTTTTTTTTTTTTTTTCCAGTTGAATTATACTTAAAGTTCAGGGTAATCAACTGTGATGCCCCTGTGGCTCCATCATTAGAGAGGGTGTGGCTGTCCTGTCTGGGCTGTGTTGATTGCACAGATTGCAGTAACTCAGGGCACCTGGGTCTGGTGTCCTGCAGCTATTTAAAGCCTCTCTGTGCTCTCTCTGCTTTTCCCTACAGGCCTCCGGTTTTGTTGAGTATATGCTGTTGTTACTTTAGTTGCTTTACTTTGTGCACCTCAACACCCTCACACATACACGTCCATGCAACCCTCACCCTGCATTTACACTACTGATACCACTGACGTCCACACCTCATGCTTTACTTATTGTTGCACTTCATTTGATTTGGCTAATTTGAATTGTTTGGTTAAATAAACATATTTTAGTAACCGTTGACATGGTGTGTCTCCTCTTTGTTGTGGCTTTTTGAGCCAGGTCGTAACATCAACTGTTAAAAACATACTGTTCAAAAATTGTTTCTCCAATAAATTGATGTTTTCAAAGTAAATGGATAATCGTTTTTAATAATCGTGATATCAATTATTGACCCAAATAATAGAGATTATGATTTTTGCCATAATCGAGCAGCCCTACTCAGCAGTGCAGGTTTTGTCGCTTCACTTTAACCATTTGGATCATCAAACCGCTGGATTACATTGTTTTTGTTTTTAACTCTCATCATGTGGATTTTTCAACTGCTCATATGGAGCACAGTCTCACGGTCACGAGCGCGTCTCTACCGCTGCGTTACTCTGCAACGGAGCTGCTACGTTCCCGGTCTTATTCCAGGACCCCTCCAGCTCTGCTTGCCCAACACTCTAGTATTCTCAAACGACCAAGATACACTCACCGTGGATCTGGACGAAACTTTGAGTACACAAAACACAACAATAACAAAACAATCCGCTCTTTCTGGTCCACTGAGCCACGCCCCCCTCGCACTGCCCGTGCTGTCAATCACAGTGTGTTATCCCCCCTGGCTAAAGCATCCACATACGCACAACTTACCTGTCTGAAACTATGTCTGTTTAACATAAGATCCCTCACCAATAAGGCCCTGCTGGTTTCTGACTTCATGGACAAAAAGCTTGATTTTTTTATGCCTCACTGAGACCTGAGGCCTGTACTACGAAGCTGGTTCAACTTAACCTGGATATGTTGGAGTTAGCCGGTTGGCCTAAGCCAAAACATACGCGCTGGCGCTAAGCTGTACTACGACGCCGGTTATCAAGTGGATCGCTCAAGCCAGCCGTGTCCTATCTAGTTAGGTGCGCGTTCACATGAAAGGGGTGGTATTTGGAGCATTCGACCAATCTCAAACACGGACAACCGTACTGACAGCGCAGCGTCATACTTCCTGAATGAAAAGTGAACTTTAATATTAGTCAAATATGAAGAAGTTAAACTTTAAACATCCATGACTTAAACACTTTATCCAGGATAAAAGCCACATAGCTGCAGCTGCAAGGTGAATACAGCTGGTAAAAGAAAAAGTGTTTGAATGCGTACATTAACAGGTTTATGAAATCACTGCCCCAAGACACGAGTGGATCTGACTTTAATTAGGAGAATTTGACTCGAGTGTTTCATCAACTTAATGTGTTGCTTAAAATAATACTTCTGCATACAGTATGTGACACTGTGAGTGTTGCACGGCCAGATACGGCTCAGCTGACTCAGATAAGGAAATATATGATACATTATGATGTGATATGATATGAATGATAATGGGACACATCGACGTCTGCACTCACAGTGCTGCGGACTGTACTTAATGTTACTCTGATCCGGTTACTTATGTCGTGGCAGATATTTAAGTAAGCTTTCTTAACGCTAATATTATAATAGTCAGATTGCTCTGAAGATGGGAGGGGATATTGTATTAATTTCACGTTCACACAGTCAGTTGATTTTGGCCGGCCGTCTTTCCTGCAACGGCAGTTTTTCTGTATTTCCTCTATCCTGTAATATGACTTGATAGCTTTAAACACCGCACACGGAGCTCTGATTGGTCAGCAGGCGGTGCTTTCACTGAGTTGATCTCTTAGCCTGCCACCTAACCTGCTCCGGAGCAGGTTTGCCGCTCAGCATAAGTTACCATGGAAATCTAGCCTGCTAAAAAGAGAACCAGCGTCGTAGGACCGGAAAGCCCGAGATTTCCCTGAATTTAGCCGGCTAAGCGAAAATCCAGCTTCGTAGTACAGGCCTCTGGTAACAGTCTGATGACTTCTTCCAGTTTAATGCAGCTGTCCCTCCGGGTTATGCTTTTATGAGTAAACCCCGTGCCACTGGGAGGGGGGGGGGGCGGCTTGCTGTGTTGCACCGTGAAAACATTAAAGTCATTGCTGTCACTGTCCCCCATCACTCCTCTTTTGAATAGTTAGCTGTAAAACTCACTGGCCCCAAACCCATCATCATTATTTCCATCTACAGACCACCGAAGCCCTCTGCTGTTTTTCTCACTGAATTTTCATCACTACTAACATCTGTATGTGCAATGTCCCCTACTGTTATCCTCTTAGGTGACTTTAACATCCACATTGACGACCCATCCAATGTTTTTGCAAATGATTTCATCTCACTCCTGGACTGCCTCGATATCACACAACATGTCAACCCCCCAACACATAACAAAGGTCACATACTGGACTTACTCTGCTGCACTGGCATCACTCCCACTAACCTTGCTGTCATTGAATTCCCCATTTCTGACCATAAAGCTGTAATCTTTGATATCCATGCCCCCCTTTCCAAAGCCAAAGAACAACGGTCCATCACCTTCAGAAACATTAAACATATTAACCCCACAGATCTCACCACTCTGATTAATTCTTACCCCAATCCTCCCACATCCCCCCACCCTGCTGACATGGTGAATCACTATAATAACTGTCTCTCCTCTTCCCTCACTGCCCTGGCTCCCCTGAAAACTCGCAAAGTTTCATTCACCCACTCCGCCCCCTGGTTTACCTCTGAGCTCCGTCAGCTCAAAACAACTGGCCGCCGACTGGAGCGGCTGTGCAAAAACACCGGACTCTCAGTTCACACTCAAATGTACTCGGATCACCTTCACCTCTACAACCTCATCAGCATTGGTAACAGCAGAGTTATTTTCTCTACAGTCAGTCACCTACTTCAGCCTCCTCAAACCCCTCCCTCCCGATATCTCCATTGACCAATGCACTGACTTTCTGCAATTTTTTCACTCCAAAATTAACACCATTCACCTACAGCTGGCCTCAGCATGCACCTCCTCAAGTGATCCACCCTGGATGGTTACCACTGGTCCACCACTCATCAGCTCCCTCTCCATCTTCACCCCAGCATCGGAATACACCATCTCAGAGCTCATCCGTAAAGCCAAAACCACCACCTGTCAGTTTGATCCTCTTCCCACCACCCTGGTCAAGGCTTGCCTACCAGCCATATCACCCATGATCACTGACATAATTAACTCCTCCCTCACCTCTGGAATTGTACCCCCCACCATCAAACTGGCTGCAATCACTCCCATCCTCAAAAAACCCAGTACTGACCCAGCCGATCTAAACCACTACAGGCCCATCTCCAACCTACCCTTCATTTCCAAGACCCTTGACAGGGTAGTTGCCGCACTGCTTCAGTCCCATCTTGACATAAACAACCTCCATGAACCTTTTCAATCTGGTTTCCGCCAAAAACACAGTACGGTTAAAATCACCAACGACCTCCTCCGTGCAGCTGACTCCGGACTTCTCACCATCCTCATCCTCCTTGACCTCAGCGCTGCATTCGATACCATTTCTCACCCACTACTCCTGTACCGCCTGGCTGGCATTTAGCGCGTTCACACCGGAGTACTTGTCCCACAATAGTTCATCAGAACTACGATATATTTGGGTTCACACCAAAAAGCCCCAGGAACTAAATTAGTTCATCAGAACCATTTTTACCCGCTTTTCAGTCCCTGCTAGAGAGCAGGGACTTTCGTGGGAGAAAAAGGTTCATATGTCTGATTGGCTGGGCGGAATGCAAACCACGCCCCGTAAAACTCCCAAAAACGTTTGTGAAGCCGCCATTTTATTTGCTCGCATTAAAATGTCATCGCAGCGCACCAACGAAGAGATTACTTTTGTGAAAGCAGCTATGGCAACACCAAATAAATCAGCGGAACGGTGGAGTGATGATGATGTGTCGGCGCTTCTGGAGATTTACTCGGAGGACAGGATCCAGAAGCTTCTACTGAAGGCAGTTTCCGTTGTTCAGCAAAAAGTTAGCCAACCTGGGAACCGTCCACAGCGCAAAGTCATGTCGGGACGACGAAGGTAAAATAAACGACTCACTGACAGACAACAGTTTGTACAACTCGGTAATCACAAGTCAGGGTGTGCTGACATTTCACTGGGTGTCCCCCAGGGGTCAGTTCTGGGTCCACTCCTATTAATCATACATCTCCTCCCCCTGGGCACAATCCTCCGTCACCATGAGGTTAATTTTCACTGCTACGCCGACGACACACAGGTCTACATTTCCTCCAAACCCACCACTGCCCTGCCCCCCAGCTCCCTCACCACCTGCCTTGAGGACATCAGGAGCTGGATGAGCAGGAATTTCTTGAAGCTTAATAGTAGCAAAACTGAGGCCCTGCTCATCGGCTCCAAATCCACCCTCACCAAGTCACAAAACACCCCAGCACCAAACATCATCATCGACGGCTTCGCCATACCATTCTCTGCCCAAGTGAAAAGCCTCGGTGTCATTCTGGACGGCTCCCTCTCATTCGCACCACACATTAAAAACATCACCCGCACTGCCTTCTTCCATCTTCGGAACATCTCCAGACTCCACTCATCTCTGTCCCAACCCAGCACCGAAATCCTGGTCCACTCATTTGTCACATCCCGGATTGATTACTGCAATGCACTTCTGACTGGCCTTCCCATCAAACTCATTAATAGACTGCAAATAATCCAGAACTCTGCTGCCCGGATCATCACCCACACCAACTCATCCACATCACCCCCATTCTCACTCAACTACATTGGCTTCCTGTACGCTGCCGTATTGAATACAAAAACCTTCTACTTACATATAAAGCTCTCCACAACCTTGCCCCCATCTACATCACCGACCTCCTTCAGGAGTACACCCCCTCCCGCACCCTCTGCTCTTCCTCCGTAGGACTTCTCACCATCTCAAGCTCTCGCCTCAAAACCATGGGTGCTCGAGCTTTCAGCTGCTTGGCTCCCAGACTCTGGAACTCCCTGCCACTACATATCCGACAGTCTGATTCCATAACAACATTCAAAACCCAACTCAAAACCCACCTGTTCAAACTGGCATTCTCATTATAAACTGTACCCTGTGTCCTTTTGTGTCCTTTTGTAGTCCATTTCCTGTTGTTTGTCTTGTTTTACCCCGGCTGACATTTCATTAAATCCACTGTTTTGATTTCCCCTATATTACCCTATGCCCTGTAAGGTGTCCTTCGGTGTTATGAAAGGCGCCCCCCAAATAAAATGTATTATTATTATTATTATTATTATTATTATTATTATTATAAAACCCTGAACACGAGGATTCCCTCTGTTGTCACTCACAGTATGAGCAGCCGTAGAGCTCCAGGCGAAGTCCGATGCGTCCCTCCCTGCTCCAGCCCACTGGGATGAAGCGGATGTAGCGAGCCAGAATGGCGTGCTGCAGCTCGTGGCGAACAGACGCTTCACTGTCCATATTCCCCTCAAACGTCTGAAACACAAACATGCAAAACAATTCTGTCAAAAAGGTCGCCACAGTTCTAATTATTGTCATCAGACAGAGCGGTGGCAAGCTCATTCATGGACAGTGAAGTGCTTATAGCAGTGTTTCTCAAACTTTTTTCATACCAAGGACCACTTAAGGGGACCTATCATGCAAAATGCACTTTTGTACGTCTTTTATACATGAATATGTATCCCCGGTGTTCCAGGGAACTCACCAAGTGTCAGAAAACACAAACCCTCTCTATTTTCCTCCATACCCAAATCTCTAAAAAAGGGGCTGCAACGGATCTGATAAAAACTGATCCAGATTTGAACACTGTCCTGACGTCAGGACAGTGGCGCTACGGCTATTGGGCCAACTCCACCAATCAGGAGGAGACAGCCACGGCCATTGCCCGTTCTAAAGCGCTGGAGACGCTGTAGTACATATGCCCAGGCCTGTAGATGGTGCTGTTCTCACTGAATCTGCCCTTGCAAAAAACAGAGCTAAAAAATGTCAATTGAGCAAAATGAGGCATGGCTAAAATGCATGATCTGTTTGGTATTTTGAAAAAAAAAAAGTATAAATATGCCTTATATAGGTATGGTCCTACACTATATTATTCAAATATAGCATGATAGGTCCACTTTAAACCAATAGAAAAACACTCGCGGCCCACCTAACTCCCCAAATATCCAAAAACAATAGGCCTGCTTACCACCTCCAACAGTATATAACAATTACAGCCTAATAATGACAGCTTAACCTTCTCTATATGACCTCGTTCACACATTAAATCAACAATACAAATACAACTACAGATTATGTAAGCATTTAGTTCAAATGCGATTTAAAATGCTCAGGTTTTACACCTCTTATGAAATGTAGACTACATTTATTACGGAGTTTATGTCCGAGCCAACAGACTCACAGCTCGTTGGCTACTGAGAGATATGCAAAATACACACCGCGTGTGTACGACACAAACCTCCGCTGTATCAAAACAAAATACAGTAAAACTATGGTCGCAGGCCCAAGTTTAACTCTCTGAGGTCGAAGCAATTTTTTCACATGTTTGGCTGGCCATTGGGCTGGCCTGCATGGTCTGCCTACAAAACAAAAATAAAAAAACGTTTTTGCAGCCCCAACAACAGCCTCTGATCATCAACAGACTTCATGCAATGCTTCATTGCATGCATATATTAGATAATAATCTCTATCTCACTCCTAACACATCTAAATCTACTTCCAGCATGGATAAATGTTCATAAAAGACATCCATTGTTTGTTTTATACGCTTCATGAAATCTAAAAAAAAAACACATCGTTTTTCTATAACAGATTACAAATCGCCTGAAAATGGTACAAACAAGTTGCAACATGTGTGACGAAGGTGTTGCGCTGGGCTATATCATGCAATCAAAACTTAAGCTCGCTCCATTGCGGAGATATTCCCGCGAGAGTGTGGAAAACTTAAATGTATTTATTTATTTCAAATGTGAAATGTTACCAATATACTCAAGGACCACTAGGGGGCGCTCACGGGCCACCAGTGGTCACTTTGAGAAGCACTGGCTTATAGTAAAGTCCAGTGGCGAACCGTGTCTATCACAACTGGACCTTCTGTAGACACACATACCCCCCGCCGCCGCCGCCGCCCCCGGCGTTATAATGTCCGTCTTTTCACTAAATTGTCGTCTTGAAAAGGGTACTCACAACAATTCCGCAACAACTTCATCTTCACCTGTTGCACTTGCCATTTCAACGTTAAAAACAATAAAACGGCATGAATTGCTTCGTCGCATTCATCTAGATCAGGGGTGTCAAACTCAATTTCATCGCAGGCCACATTCGCATAAAGGTTGCACTCAAAGGGCCGGTTGTAACTACATAAATATATAATATATATATAAAATAATGTATTATATTATATCATTGCCTCTGAATTGGATTATTATCGGATAGGATAATAACTTAGTAATTGGCAGAAGTCCAGGGCAAATAATTGCAAGTCTCTTCAGTGCATGTCACAAAACGAGATGCATTGTGGGACATGTAGTTTATGGGCAACCTGCTTCTGTAAAGTGGCATGTAACCGTATAATAAACGTATTATATTCTTTGCAAGCTCTTGCAGGGCCACATAAAACGAAGTCGCGGGCCGGATTTGGCCCCCGGGCCTTGAGTTTGAGACCCCTGATCTAGATCCTCTGTCTCGAGCCAGTGAACTACCAGGCAAGCTATGACTTTACTAAAGTCATAGCTCAACTTCAGTCAAATTTGGGATTTTATACAAAGGGAGAGACAAAATGTCCATTACTTTGTAATTACCCATACTTTATGGGAGACATATTATAAAGCCTGACTATTGACAAAATATGTATTGTGTTTAAGACAGTTATGTAATTTGCATTAGCTTAGTGCAAATATGCAGTTTGCTTTGCAATCATTGAATTAGCAGTAGCTACTGTATAGTTTTTTGTCACAAACTGTTTATTTTCATTTTTACGTTGGTTTCCTGCTTTACTTTGAAAGGTGTTCACCCCCTGTCTCATGTCTGTATTTACTTCCTGTCTCTGTGTTTCACCTCCCCTCTCCAGCTGTGTTATTACCCTTGTGTATTTAGTCTTTCTTTCCCTTGCGTTCCTTGTCAGTTCGTCATCGTTTGTCCTGTGGTTTGGATGTCTTGTTCTGGATTTCCCTGGTCTGCCCTCCTGTTCTAGTTTTGTTTGTTACTTTTCCTTTTGTTCCACCTCGCCTGCTCCTGCCGTTTTGTGTTGAACCAGCTTTCATTTAATAAAAGCTCGCCTTTCGTTACTTTCTCATACCTGCCTCCCCTGTTTGTACTGCTTTTGGGTCCACACTCTGGCCTAACCCTGACAGTTTGTATGTACATTTTTGTAATTCTATGCATTTCCTACTTGCGTTATAACTATTACTTAAAGATGTGAAGTTACATCTGAAGAGTTTTGAGGGTTTATGTATTGAAAGAGTCACTGTCACTGCAGAGACTTAGCTGCACTGAGTTCAGCAGTATGTAAATTACATATTTGGGCAATTTCTGCCACAAATTTCCTCAATTGGTTAAGAGTAAAGTTTAGATGAGATGACATATGATTCTTACCCAGATGTTTCCATCCTGTAGATAAGGCCTCCAGTTTTTCTGTGTGTCACTGTAAAGTAGCCGATATTTGCTGGTCCAATCAGAGCTACTGTAGCGACCCTGTGTCGCTACGGAAACCACCTGCTTCCTTGAACCCAGGTCTACCTGTAACCATTGATAACGGTCTGTATCCAGGGGGGACCAGCCTCCAGCACCTAGTGGTGTGGGTAGGGTAAAAAAAAATGGGGAAAAGGAAGAAGAGCACAATTATGGATTTGAGCATTATAACATAATTATAGGAAGTTTCCTGTCAGTCAAGGCTGTCAGTCTAAGGTACTCAGAATCAGAATCAGAAACGGGTTTATTACCAGGTAGGTTCACACGTACGAGGAATTTTACTGTTAAAATAAAAAAACACTAATTTAAAAAAACACAGATAGCTAACTATATTAAGAACACTTTAATACAAATATAGTAAGATAGCAATAAAGTAAGCAGTATTTACATTGAAATATAATGCAATAAATTATAGAATATAAAATATGTGCTTTAAGCAATATTGTCAACATTGTGTGCATTAATGTAATGCATAGTCTATGATGTGGCTGAGGTAAAGTGTCAGTGGGGGGGGGCAGGCCTTGTTGATGAGGCCGGGAGGGGAAGAAACTGTTCAGGTGGCAAGAGGTTTTGGTCCTGATGGAGCGCAGCCTCCTGCCAGAGGGGAGGGGGGTGAACAGTTTGTGTCCAGGGTGGGAGGGGTCGGCCACTATCTTCCCTGCCCGCCTCAGGGTCCTGGAGGCATGCAGGTCGTGGAGGGATGGCAGATTGCAGCCGATCACCTTCTCTGCAGAGCGGATGACACGCTGCAGCCTGCCCTTATCCTTGGCTGTGGCTGCGGCGTACCAGATGGTGATGGAGGAGGTAGAAGTATCAGTATACCTGATGGAGGTGTAGAAGTTCACCATCATCGTCTTTTGCAGGTTGAATTTCTTCAGCTGCCTCAGGAAGAACATCCTCTGCTGGGCTGAGGGAGCAGATGTTCTGCTCCCGTTTTAGGTCCTGGGCGATGATGGTGCCCAGGAAGCGGAAAGACTCCACAGCAGTGACTGGGGAGTCACACAGAGTGATGGGGGCGGGTGGGGCTGCGTTCTTTCTAAAATCCACAACCATCTCCACTGTCTTGAGAGCGTTGAGCTCCAGGTGGTTGTCCCTGCACCAGGTCACCAGATGGTCCATCTCCCACCTGTAGGCAGACTCGTCCCCACCAGAGATGAGTCCGATGAGCGTGTTGTCGTCTGCGAACTTCAGGAGCTTAACAGACTGGTGACTGGAGGTGCAGCTGTTGGTGTACAGTGAGAAGAGCAGAGGGGAAAGAATGCAGCCTTGAGGGGAACCAGTGCTGATGGTCCGGGGGTCAGAGACGTGTTTCCCCAGCCTCACGTGCTGCTTCCTGTCAGACAGGAAGTCTGTGATCCACCTGCAGGTGGAGTCGGGCACGTGCAGCTGGGAGAGCTTGTCCTGCAGCAGAGCCGGGATGATGGTGTTGAAGGCGGAGCTGAAGTCCACAAACAGGATCCTGGCATAGGTTCCTGCTGTGTCCAGGTGCTGGAGGAGGAAGTGAAGGGCCATGCTGACAACATCATCTACAGACCTGTTGGCTCTGTAGGCCAACTGCAGGAGGTCCAGGAGGGGGTCTGTGATGGATTTGATGTGGGACAGGACAAGGCGCTCAAAGGACTTCATAACCATAGAGGTCAGGGTGACGGGTCTGTAGTCATTTAATCCTGTGATCCTTGTTTTCTTGGGAACCGGGATGATGGTAGAGGTTTTGAAGCATGCTGGAACGTGGCATGTCTCCAGTGAGGTGTTGAAGATGTCTGTAAACACCAGAGACAGCTGATCAGCACAGTGCTTCAGGGTGGAGGGGGAGACATTATCTGGGCCAGTAGCTTTTCTGGTACTGAGTTTTTTTAAACGTTTATTTACAAGGGCAGTGGTCTGGGAAAGCGGGACACTGTAGGGGAGGGGGCGTGGAGGTGTGAGACTGGAGCTGTTGGGAGCTGTCACGGGGGATGGTGGGGTCAGGACTAAACTCTTTGTCTTCAAAGCGACAGAAAAACTGATTCAGGTAGTTTGCAAGGCGTCGGTCGTTCATGGAGAGTGAGGCTTTTGGCTTCTAGTTAGTGACCTGCCTGAGGCTGGTGCCCCACGAGGACGAAAACGGGTTGTATCTGCATATTTCTCTTGCGTATAGCCCTTTTTGCCACACGAGGCCGTAACTAAACGATAGAAACGGACCCCGCAAACGATAACGGGTCCAAAGGTGGATAGATCTGGGAACGGAGCGCTCTGGGGGGTCAAACGGCTCCGTGTGATCGCCTCTATACGATCATTTTGTGATAATGATGACGCAATAGCCCCGCCTCCCCCCACCTCTGCTGCTCACCCCCGCGTCAAGGTAAACTGCACACTGAATTCAGATTATTTATCTTTATCTCGATATGGACATAAACGCGAGTGAAGTCTATTCTGACAGGACGGAGACACGCAGCTCCTGCCGCTGTGATGCAGCGGGAGCAAAACACACACTTCAAGTCAGATCATCACCCTTAGCTATTTTAATTACCTCTCAAACTACCTAAACTAGTTATAAATATGTTTATTTTTACTGTCGGGTCACTCATTACTGGATCAGCTGCTGCATGAGACAGACACTGACGCTGTCAGAACAGGGGGAGGAAAAAGAGAGGCTCCGTATATTTTATTATTATATATCATTATATCGTCGTTATTTATTTGTTTTAAAGCTCAATAAATAACAAAGAAGACCTTTGACCGGCACTTTTATAATTTTGTCCGGAAGATTTAAACTTCAACACACGTTGACCGGCGAAAAACTCTGCCCGGTTCCCTCGGCCCCCACCACGGTGAATAAACAGAAGGGGAACCATGACAACCACGCTTCTTCGCTGCTTTTGTGGAGGAAGTTACAGCGCTACGTACAGGCTCGGCATATGAACTGCAGCTTTTTCCAGCGGTTGGAGCTAAACGGAGCTGTCTCGTGTGAACAGACACTATCCGGTGTATATTGCGTGTGGACGGAAGCCTTTTTTGCGATTGCGATTGTGTTAATCCTATGCGTTTTGCCGTATGCGTTCCCGTGGGGCAAGCACCTGAGTCCAAGCCAGACAGAGGCAGAACTCGCCATAAACTGTTATTGCTCAGGTTAAGCTCACCCCTTCCAACGTAAGTGTGAAGTATTGGTTCTTGGTTCTTGCCGGGCAGCCGAGTGGGGCCAGCTAAGAACCGGAGCTTAATCAGGCTCTAGCCCGGAACCGGCCCTGGAACCGGTTTGGTGGAAAAGGGGCATATGTCACAATATTTAGCGTGTGGCCCCCACCGCTGCGGCCCATTTAGTTTGTGGGCAGCCCTCTGGAAATACAGATACATTAGTATCTGAGTATATCTGTTAAAATGTATGTATTCAACACCACTCTAGTTAGGTAACTTGCAAGCTAATTTGTGAAGGGTGTTATAAGTTTGAAAAAATGTATCTATGGCGAACACACGTTTAAGGTACTTGCATGCAGGGGCGTAGTACTGCCAGACCGCACCAGAACGCCGCATTGACATTTATTTTCAGAGGAAAATGTATATTTGTAGTAGGCCTACGCATAAGGCCCCGTACCAATGCCAAGTATTTGCATGCTCAAATTCCCTGTTCATCACCAGGGCACTACAGTGTCATTAGTTGAAAGTATCCTAGTTTAACTTTTGGAACACAGCAGCACGCACCACCTAGTGCAGATTGAGTAAGATTTAACATGAGGAAGACACTGTTAAATCGACACAAATAAAATAATAATGAAAGTGATTTGGTAAAAAGTTTGAATATGGCGAACTGGCACTGTTTTATATATAATTATTGTGTATCGTCTACTGTGGATAATCACATATTTGTGACACAACAGCATTTGCACTGCAATGTGAGTCAGTGATAAGCAACAACAGAGACAATATGTACTTTTGTTAAATAAAATCCACATCTCCTTCATCCAAAAGCAGCCTGCTGTCGATTTTTAGATCTAATGAAAGTAAATGCAGTTGGCTGCATATAAAGCATATTGTGCGTGCAGGCACTTCTCAGGCTGCAGCCCTGAACCTATGGCTCTGCTGCAGTGATTTCATGAAATGATTAGTGAGCTTTTTATACTATGAAGCAGCTGTGTGCCGCAGGTACTGAAATAATCTGCATTGTCAATTCTGTCCGGAGAATGTTAATTAACAGCGGTTACATAACCTTTCAAACGAGCCAAAACCGTGTGCGTGAACGCATGCATGCATCATAGGAGCGCTCCAGTACAAATAGCACTACACCCCTGAATGCATATTTTGTAATCTCCACATATTAACAACACTTAATGATTTTTGAAGCGTACATACAATCGCCAAAAGTAAAGAGCTAATTTAGGCTATAAAGAAACTACATCACGGTCACATGTCTGCCTTCACCACCCCTAAGCTAAAGGCGGCTAATGTTCAGCGTAATTACATTTAGTAGTTTAATTTAATCAGCATGATATCAACTGCTGTTTGTATGATGTATTTTATGCCGTAGAACACAAGACTTTAAATCTCTTTAGCTTGTGTTAACAGATCTTATGACAGTCCTCTAACCACAAACATACTCACAACACCATTGACTACCAGACGAGGGAACAGGAAATGGTAAATTGCTAAATAATTTCCTTGTTTTAGGAACCATTCGTACATCACTCTATTATATCATGTTTAATCTGAAAGGGAATATTTGAGCTTGTAGCAGCTAATGTCTAAAGGCATGTACTGCAAGCTAAAACCTCCTCAGTGGGTGAAGAAGATGAACCCTGACTTAGTGGAAGTGGATCCTCCCTCTCTACTTACAAAGTGTTGTTATTTTCAAAACATAATGGAAAAAATCCATCACAATTCTTCAGTACTATTCCACGCAACAACTACTAGTATGCAGGATTAAATGTATCATCAGTATATTAACAGACAAAATCTAGAGTATGATCCTATGTGCACACACTGTAGTAAGTAGGACACAGCAGCAGCTCCCATTACAGAAGCATACAGTACCTTGTTTCCGATTGAGTTTGGCGTAACCCGCTCCACATCCTTGGGTGTACACTGAGGAGCTGCTGAAGGAGCTATAGGGCAGAGGAGTGGCCAGGCTGTTCTCACACTTTCCTGAATGACAGACAGAAAACAGACGCAATGTTTATCAGCAAATATGTCAGTCTGTATTGGCTGATTATCAGCTGTAAGCATGCCAACTAATAACTGTCAAAATAACAGACACAACACACCAATAAATTTCTGATATGGATAGCATTTGTGAATCACATGTTTAAAGGTCTCCTCTCCTATTATACTATTTTTAGGCATATATTATAGGTCTCAGATATATACCAAACATGTCTATGTTTTGCTCAAAATACCAAACAGATCCCCCATTGTAGCATGCCTTATACCCCTCTATTTCAGCCCTGTTACTAAAGTGCTGATTCTGGGTCCATAGCTTTAAAAAAAATAAGAAAAACGCTGCCGTGATTAAACGCCATATTATGTTCCAAACCACATCAAGCATTATTTCTGAAACAGTATGGAGCTCAAACGGTTTACCACAAGGACTGTACATTTTACAACCCGCTTCTTTACACATACTCTCTCCAGCACAGCGTTAGCTCTGAGTGTTAGCGATGCTTGCTAATGTAAACACGGACCATATTACTTCCAAAACATGTCGCGCATTGTTTCTGATACAGCAACGTTTCTGATAGGGGCGTGGGTGTAAAGCATATTATATATGCTATAAAAAATAGCATATATCAGTGTTTCCCCTGCCATTGTCTTGGAGGGCCAACAGAGCCCCGTGCCCCCCCTGAAATTCAAGGTGTTTAAAAAAAATAATAATTATCATTTTTTTTAATATATATATATATATATATATATATATATATATATATATAGCACCAAATTGCAACTAATCTATATCTACTGTCACTTTTCACATTGAACATGTGCTCTTTTGTTAAATAAACTTAAACTTTACTTAAATAAACGCTTTCATTTTAAAGGGGACCTATCATGCAAAATGCACTTTTGTACGTCTTTTATACATGAATATGTGTCCCCGGTGTGTCAGGACACTCACCAAGTGTCAGAAAACACAACCCTCTCTCTTTTCCTCCATACCCAAATCTCTAAAAACGAGGCTGCAACGGATCTGATACAGACTGATACAGATTTGAACATTCTCTGACATCAGGAACGAGGAGCTCCGCCTATATGGCCAACTCTCCACCTATCAGGGGAATGTGGGGTTGGGCCACGGCCGGCCATTGCCGCTCGAAAGCGCTGGAGACGTTGTAGTACATATGCCAGGCCTGTAAGTGGCGCTGTAGTCTGCCACAAAAGCAGCGAAGAAGACTTCCCGCCCATAGTTACCATGGTTGCCCTTCTGTTTATTCTCCGCTGTGGCTCTTTTTCTCCCTCCCCGAGGCAAGCGTTTGCTCCCGCTGCTTTAATTCAATGCAATCCCTCCCCGTCGAGGCAAGCACTGTAATTCTCTCCGGTTAGTCCACCAGCAGATGACAAACACCCACTCTCCCACCTCTTCCAAGGAACGAGGGGACCGAACGACGGTTTGTTCCAACCGCTGGAAAAGCTGCAGTACATATGCCGAGCCTGTACGTGGCGCTGTAACTTCCTCCACAAAAGCAGCGAAGAAGCGTGGTTGTCATGGCTGCCCTTCTGTTTATTCTCCGCGGTGGGGGCCGAGGGAACCGGGCAGAGTTTTTCGCCGGTCAACGTGTGTTGAAGTTTAAATCTTCCGGACAAAATTATAAAAGTGCTGGTCAAAGGTCTTCTTTGTTATTTATTGAGCTTTAAAACAAATGAATAACGACTATATATGATGATATATAATAATAAAATATACGGAGCCTCTCTTTTAACTCCCTCTCTTCTGACAGCGTCAGTGTCTGTCTCATGCAGCAGCTGATCCAGTAATGAGTGACCCGACAGTAAAAATAAACATATTTATAACTAGTTTAGGTAGTTTGAGAGGTAATAAAAATAGCTAAGGGTGATGATCTGACTTGAAGTGTGTGTTTTGCTCCTCCCGCTGCATCACAGCGGGAGGAGCTGCGTGTCTCCGTCCTGTCAGATTAGACTTCACTCGCGTTTATGTCCATATCGAGATAAAGATAAATAATCTGAATTCAGTGTGCAGTTTACTTTTGCGGGGGTGAGCAGCAGAGGTGGGGGGAGGCGGGGCTATTGCGTCATCATTATCACAAAATGATCGTATAGATCAGAGCGCTCCGTTTCCAGATCTATCCACCTTTGGACCCGTTATCGTTAGACATTATGGATTCAAGTGCTCATTAAAATGATAAGAAAATAAGAAGAAACAGCATTGCATCTATGCCCAACATCAGTGTCTTGTCATTTTATAAAGGCTGAATTAGAAATAATTCAGTATCATTAAGGTTATTCTAACCCTATTGCACTTATATGTTTTTCACTAACAGTTTTTTTAAAGGCCAAATAACAATAACAACAAATACATGGAAACAGTTACATTGATTTGGTTTTGTACAAGGCTGAACAGTTTGTTTCTTCTCAACCTTGTCAAAAACAAATCATAAATATGTGTGTGTGTGTGTGTGTGTGTGTTGTGTGTGTGTGTGTGTGTGTGTGTGTGTGTGTGTGTGTGTGTGTGTGTGTGTGTGTGTGTGTGTGGTGTGGGGGGGTGTCTTTGTTCTCAACACATAACAGCTTTTTGGCGGGGGAGGGGTCAGCTCAGTGTGTGTGTGTGTGTGTGTGTGTGTGTGTGTGTGTGTGTGTGTGTGTGTGTGTGTGTGTGTGTGTGTGTGTGTGTGTGTGTGTGTGTGTGTGTGTGACAGGTGTGGGGCATGGTAATGCCTTTCCTCATATGCATTACAAAACACCAAGCCAAGCATGTCTCAAGCTGTTTACAGGACGAAGGGAGAGATTCTCAACAAAAAAATAGCATATATAATACCCCCAGACACTCCAATGATGTCTCATTTCTGAAGAATCATTAGAATTTGAAGAATATTTGATCTTATTTTGTCATTTGAACAATATTGCCTCTCTTTTTCATGTATTCCTACTTTATTCAAACTATGTCAAGATGGCAGAGTAGTGTTGTTTGTTAGCTCTAACAGTTTGGAATAATCTTCCTTTTATCATATTTGTAAGTGTGGTCCTTATTGGAATTGTACTCCTTTTGTCATAAAATTCATAATTAGGATCAATTTGATGCAGGAGTTCAAAGGTTAGATTTACAGGGTATCAATGTTTGATACTGAAAGTATAAAATGCTCAATATAATTAATGGTATATATAATATAATATACAAATCGTTTTAATCATCTGTCCTTCATCGTTTTTAACACATTTACACACATTCAAGTCCCTGAGAATGATTGGGACATTTGCATTAAACACGAATAATAGATTTATAACACACTGTACTAATTTGTTCCCATGAAATCCTCCATCAGTATAAAATTATTTTAGAGTGAACAATATCATCTTAAAGGTAGGGTAGGTAATTCACTTCAGAAACACTTTGTTATATTCCATGGAATGCTCTTAACTTCCCGATAGCAATGAAGAAATTAAATGCTTTGACAATAAATATATACAAATATTTCATCTGTGGAAGCCGTGGCGCTGTAAAAAGCAAGTCCAATTATCTGCCTCGGCCCGCGGCAGATAATTGGATGGCCTACCTGCCTGTCAGCCTTCCATCTCGTGCACAAACTTATCTCGTGCCCTCATAGAGAGCCGAAGTCCCTCCCTTTCCGGGGGACCTCCATGGGACCTTATTTCGGAAAAAGTATGTATTGAAGTCAATGGCGAGAGAAAGATTATCTTTCGATCCCGTTTGAATTGTGCCACGAATTACACATATGATGTTTGTCAATTTAAAAGATAATTTTGCAAGTCAAACAAATAAAAATGTGTCATAAAACTGTGAAGTAACACTTTTTTTTGTGTGAAACCACTCAATGACCTACATCTCCCGTATCGCACCACACACCAAGACGGCTATCACGTTGGCACATTTCACTTCTTTCTTTCAGAATGAGGCGAAAAGTATTAAAAGAGGTGAAAATCACTACAAGTCTGGGCATGTTGAGAGCTGTACATACACACAAGGGGAGTTAGTCGGTTCCGTAAGAGCCAGTATGCGGGACCGGGATTCTGGGATTTGTGGGGAGGCGTGTGGATAGAGCCTTGGTGTTGGGATGAGGGGGTCACAGGTTCAAACCCCACTGCAGTCAGCATGTCGTTGTGTCCCTGGGCAAGACACTTCACCCCAAATTGCTCCTGTGGGGATTGCCCACAGTATTGAGTATGTAAGTCGCTTTGGATAAAAGCGTCTAACAAGTAACATGTAATGTAGTCTTTCTAGTTGCGTATTTTTCATAGTCTTATATTTCAACAGTTTTACGACAAATTGTGACTTTTTTGACGTGGAAATTATTTTTTAAGATTGACAAACATCATATGTGTAATTCATGGCACAATTCAAACGGGATCGAAAGATAATCTTTCTCTTGTAGTGATCACTGATTCATACACTGGGGTTACATAATCCAATCATGGAACTACAGGTTGGGGGTATTGTTTCCGCACGGACACACATGTTGTTGACAGTACTTATTGTGTGCCCTCCTTGCTTCTTCCTCTTCTCTTCCCGGGCTGCGACCCGACAACATGTCTATTTCTGTTGCTCATTAAAGTTCCCATTTGCACCTTCGATGCACCGCCTCCGACTCCTATCTCTCGGCACTACATTGGTGACCCCGACATAAGTCTCGCGAAGGATCCGAGACTGAACCGAACACGGCAAAAAACAAACACTGTTTTTCTCGAAATGCCGGAGATTTTTGGAGACGTCCGTGGCTGCCACGTGCACACGGACTGAGGCTCGGTGCGCCCCACGGAATGGCTGAGGACGTCGCTCGCCATTCCCGCGACCTGCTAGGTATGGAGGAACCCGACTTCTACCTCATGGAGCTGTGTCTTTGGGACATGCGGCTGCATGTCCAGGCTGCGCTAGCTAACACGGCTAGTGTTGGGCCCCGCGCTTTAGCCGAAGAAGCTAGCCGGTTCTTCCTGGCCGCCCGGCGATTTACCCACTACACGCTGCAGCACCTTCCCTGGTGGGGGCACGCCGCCTAGTGGAGGCTCCGGGGCTGACGACGACGACGACGACAGCGACTAACGGCCGTCGAGAACGGCTAGCCACAACAGCTAACGGCTAGCAGCTAGCGGCTAACGACATCCATTGGCTATCGACATCCGACTGTTAGCCCCTTTTTTTTTTGTGGTGCCGGAGAGGAGGTTCGATCAAGTCTGGTCGGCCTCGTGTGGATTCTCTCACAATTTCGCCCACCTGTTTTTGATCGTGGACAGGACGACCCTTTTGAGTTTTTTTCTGGTGCCTGAGAGGAGGTTCGACCATGTCTGGTCGGCCTCGTGTGGACCCTCTCGCAATTTCACCACCTCAACGGCGGCTTCGGACGTCGCCCATGCCTTCTTCGGCCCGTGGGTGGCGCGCTTCTGGACCCCGTCCGGCCTCTTCCCTCGCCTCGGCGGTTTCGGACGTCGCCCATGCCTTCATCGGCCCGTGGGTGGCGCGCTTCTGGACCCTGCCTGGCCTCTCCTCTAACCGCGGCTCACGGTTCGCCTCGACGGCGGCTTCGGACGGCGCCCCGTCTGGCCTCTCCCCGGCTCCTTCCTCCCGGGGACACGGCTCCTTCCTCCCGAGGACTTCGTACACGCCGCCGCTGTGCCTTCGCCTGCGGCCGGGCAGCGCTCCTCCCTGCTGGGGACCACCGGGATATTCACGCCCGTCCCCACGTCGCAGCACAGCGGCCCTGTTTTCTACGGCTGGCGGAGGTTTTCTTCGTTCTCCACGATGCCTACCGCGGCCCCCTTACGACGGCCCGTTCCGGCCCGCCCCCCACCCCCGGTGGGGATGCCCTCGCCCTCGTTAGGGCTCCTACCCTCTCCTGCGGCCCCCTTCCGACGGCCCGTTCCATGCCCCGACCCTCGCCTGCGGCCCCGCCCTCCTCGGCCCCTGTGGTGCTTCCTCCCGGACGCGAGGATTGTGCCATGTTTGAATTCTGGGGGGGCTTGTGTAGTGATCACTGATTCATACACTGGGGTTACATAATCCAATCATGTTGGGGGTATTGTTTCCGCACGGACACACATGTTGTTGACAGTACTTATTGTGTGCCCTCCTTGCTTCTTCCTCTTCTCTTCCCGGGCTGCGACCCGACAACATGTCTATTTCTGTTGCTCATTAAAGTTCCCATTTGCACCTTCGATGCACCGCCTCCGACTCCTATCTCTCGGCACTACACTCTCCCCATTGACTTCAATACATAATTTTTCCGAAATAAGGTCCCATGGGTCGGAAGTAGATGGGCGGGACTTCGCCTCACTATTGGTCATGTGCGCGTTCGTGTGTGTTGGAGGAGGGGCTCTGTAAGGAAGTCTGAAGGAAGGGGCAGATTGTTTTCGGTTGTGTACTTTCAAATTCTAGCTTACTCGAGCTGGTTTCTCCATTCTTACCTTACCCTACCTTTAAGTTTCATTTACTAAATGTGCTGGAGCTTTTTTTAATATTGTATAATCTTGGTTGAACTGTGTTTTTAACTTTTTACACACTGACAAACTTGGTTGACACATGTTTTATATCATGTGTGTATGCTTTACACTGACTATAAGGCTATCATTTCTATTTTTGGTTACATTGTGGAGCACATATGAATGCATTGACCATTATGAGGGGCGAGGAGGGGGGTGTTCTGAATTATATGAAACAAATCACATTATTATGGGTGTCGTCAATAGTACAATTCTGTATGAGCCCTGCTGTGTGCTGCTGCTTTGGCCCCAGGCTGAGTCCTTCCTGCTTAAACACTGCACTGCCCCGACAAGAGCGGCTACCAGATTAGCATGGTTGCTAGTGTGTGTGTGTGTGTGTGTGTGTGTGTGTGTGTGTGTGTGTGTGTGTGTGTGTGTGTGTGTGTGTGTGTGTGTGTGTGTGTGTGTGTGTGTGTGTGTGTGTGTGTGTGTGTGTGTGTGTGTGTGTGTGTGTGTGTGTGTGTGTGTGTGTGTGTGTGTGTGTGTGTGTGGTGTGTGTGTGTGTGTGTGTGTGGTGTGTGTGTGTGTGTGTGTGTGTGTGTGTGTGTGTGTGTGTGTGGTGTGGTGTGTGTGCTGTGTACTTACTGTGGGATACTGGGGATGCTGCGCTGCAGGTGCTGATGATGGTCACCAGGACCAGCAGCAGATTCATGTTCTCGGTCCACAGAGCAGAGCGGGATGACCGGATCCAGAAGCTCTGTTGTTTCACCCCGCGAGACCTGTGCGCGAGACGCTGCTTTCTTTATTAGCAGCGAAGACAGAAACCAATGGCTGCCCACCGCCTGTGCTTTTTGTCTTGTCCTTCCTTTCTTTTCAACTCGCCTCAATGTAATTTATCGGGCTTTGATACACTATCTCCAGAACTATCTTGAGACCTGACGGCTGTAACGCAGGCCGGGCATCGTGCTCCAGGTGCATCACCAGAAAGACGAACTGAGCTGAGCTGCCGTACTAATCAAACACCCCCACTTTTTGCTGCGCTTAGTACGATCCAATACGTACAACAATACAGGCTCTCTGGGATGAGGAGGGGGCATGGATGTATTGGGAGGGGGGCAGGAGGGTCCGAAAGATGAAATTGTAACGACTACACTGCACACAAAGCAATGTCCTTAATATGCCTGTTTCAATAAAACTGAATAGAAATTGAATATGAATCTATTGCCCTCAAATGTTTTCATAATTTCATATTCCAGCTATTCCTCAAAAAACATGTTTTTGATATCATCCCATTCAAATTTTTAATTTACATATTAAGACATTTTAGTTTTTGTATTACTACCCCAAGTGGGTAAAAAATGTCCCCCATGCATTTTCTATGGAATCCTATGGGAACCTTTGATTCTTATCACCTGTGGCTGTCAGGAATACATTTACTGTAGACCACAGACTACATCCGAAGTGACACCTTTCAGGAAGATAATTTCAAACAGCAAGATCTGATAGCCTACTTGTCAGAATTATAATAATAATAACTTCGGGAAAAAAAATCGCTTTACAATACAAGGGAAGGTTATGGTGGGGGGTATAGGACTAACAAACACGATCAACCGGCATGGATTGAATGGGGGGGGGGGGGGGGGCTATGAGTAGACAGAGGAGAAGAGATGAGATTTGAGAAGGGACTGGAATACTGGGAAGGACTCAGAATAGCGGAGATATTGGGGGAGGGAATTTCTGTCCCCGAAGCTGCCTAGTTTGGAGGGGAGGTTGTTCTGAGGGACCATGGGGGTTGGTAAGGGGTGAGAAGATCAGTGAGATGCGGGGGCCAGATGGTGGATGGCTTTGTAGGTGAGGGCCAGTATTTTGTAGTTGATGGGTTGGGAGACAGGAAGCCAGTGAAGGTCTTTGAGGACTTGGGTGATGTGGTGCCATGATCTGGTGTGTGTGTGAGGAGTTGGGCGGCTGCATTTTGTACAATTTGGCGTCTATTGAGGGAGGGGGAGCAGATGCTGTAGATCAGGGATGGGCAACTTGGATGGTGGTGGGGGGCCACATAATTTATGAACTGGCCACCAGGGGGCCGCAGGTTCACTTGGAACACAGACACACACAAATTCCATGTATTGTATGTAATTATTAACAAATATACTAAGTCTGACATCTTCATTGACATTTTACAATCTTTCAGGACAATAAGGTACACTGAAAAAATTGTTATGTTGAATTTACTTAATTTTATTAAGGTAAGTGGTTGCACGAAACAAAGTTATCTAAATCCAGATATGTTTTTTAAGTTCACTGTACTTATTATTTTTGAGTAATTTCAATTGAATTATACTGATAATTTTCACCTCAACTATTCCGAGTAAAATGTACTCACTAAACCCATGTTAAGTTTACTAAAATGGATTATGTAACAGTAACCTTTTTTCTTTTTGTACATTCAGATCAATTCAATAGTTTAATTTCTACATACAAAAATTAAGTTGAATTTAATTAAACATTTTCAGCCATTATTACTATGTCAACTTTCAATATATTAAAATAAAAATAAACAACATATTTGATACATACTCTTACTTTATTATCTTGTACAAAATGACGTAACATGAAGCATGTGTCTTACATGAAACATCTTCTGATTCGAATAAAACAACATGCAACTGTCATGGCCTCCACCGTGTGTGAGTCCACAATCCAATCACCTCTGCTATAAGACTCCGGCCCTGACTCCTCCACTTCGCCATATCGTAGACTGTAACCACAGTCAGTCACGTCTCCTGTGCCTGCAGCTTCAAGCCAGCCTGACTCATGTCTCCAGACCACCTCCAACGTTGGACCCTGTCCCGCTCCTCCAGGCTCTTCTCCCTGCACTCTCCAACCTGGTCAGACCTCCGTTCCCCTCTCCCTTGGACTCAGTCTAGCTTCCCTGGCTCAGACCCCCCTGCCTACTGCCCAGTAATATTCAATAAACGCTATTATTTTGCTTGAAACTCTTTCCTCCTGTCTCTGCTCTGCTCCTGGGTTCCCTGCTAGCCTTAACAGTACACTCTGGCCACTGTTAAGGCTAGCAGGGAACCCAGGAGCAGAGCAGAGACTTGAGTTTCAAGCACAATAATAACGTTTATTGAATATTACTGGGCAGGGGGGTCTGAGCCAGGGAAGCTAGACGGAGTCCAAGGGAACGGAGGTCTGACCAGGTTGGAGAGTGCAGGGAGAAGAGCCTGAAGGAGCGGGACAGGGTCCAACGTTGGAGGTGGTCTGGAGACAGGATAGGAGTCAGGCTGGCTTGAAGCTGCAGGCACAGGAGAGGTGACTGACTGTGGTTACAGAGTCTACGATATGGCGAAGTGGAGGAGTCAGGGCCGGAGTCTTATAGCAGAGGTGATTGGATTGTGGACACACACACGCACGGGGAGAGACAGACTAGGCAGAGGTGGAGGCCATGACAGCAACAAAGTGCAGTGGAAACAGACAGCGAATAAATCCTGACGTAACATGAAGCATGTGATTTAAAGGTAGGGTAGGTAAGTTTGAGAAACCGGCTCGAGATCGCTAGAATTTGAAAATACACAACCGGAGAAAATCTGCCACTTCCTTATAGAGCCCCTCCTCCAACACACACGAACGCGCACATGACCAATGAGGGCACCAGATAAGTTTGTGCACAGATGGAAGGCTGACAGGCAGGTAGGCCATCCAGTTATTTTAGCCGGGCCGGCTCAGATGATTGGTCGTGCTTTTTACAGTACTACGGCTTCCACAGATGATATTTATTTATGGATTTTTTTGTCAAAGCACTTCAGATATTCATTGCTATCGGGATGTTAAGAGCATTCCATGGAATATAAAAAGTGTATCTCGAGCCGGTTTCTCAAACTTACCTACCCTACCTTTAAACAGCTGAGGAGAATATAACCTTCCACACATTAATACATGTAATATTTTCACATTCTTCTCCAGAACTAGATGTAAATTGCCAATATAAAAAATAAAATGTTTTACGCTTGGCTAAGGTAGAAAAAGTTGCAGTTTCGATAAAAACGAGTGCAGTGGAAACAGACAGCGAATAAATCCTGACGTAACATGAAGCATGTGACTTAAACAGCTGAGGAGAATATAACCTTCCACACATTAATACATGTAATACATGTCTTCTAAGTCCATCAACATTTCCACATTCTTCTCCTAACCTTTGAGTATACCTATATGTAAGACCAGGGGTGGGCATTTTACGGCCCGCGGGCCACATCCGGCCCGTTGGCCGGCCTTGGCCGGCCCGTGTGAGGTTGATCATAAATTATAACATAATAAAAAAAAACAGCAACCTTTTCAAAATAAAAGCAACACAGCTGTATTGCTTGCATGGCGTAAATACTTTTCTAACTGTGTTGCTTTTATTTTGAAAAGGGCGCTGCTGTTTTTTTTATTTATTTACGTAAACGCGCATGCCGTAACAGCTACGAGTGATGCTGGCCGGCTAGTCCTCGAAATGTCCGCTAAGGGCAAAAAAAGAAAGATCGATACTGAATGCCGCATTTTCAACAAGACATGGACCGCTAAGTATTTATTTACAGAAGTGAAAGGTAAAGCTGTGTGTTTAGTTTGTGGTGCGCAGGTCGCTGTGTTCAAGGAGTACAATTTGAGTCGCCACTATGCTATCAAACACGCAGATAAATACAATAACCTGTCTGAGGAAGAGCGGGCAAAGGGGTCGGATGCTTTGCTAGCTAAGCTGCAAAGCCAACAACACATTTCCACAAAACATTCCACATCCAGAGATGCAGCTGTCAAGACAAGTTATGTCTTATCCCACAAAATTGCAAAAAAAAGTAAACCGTTTTCGGACGGAGAGTTCATTAAGGAGTGTTTGTTGGACTCTGCAAAAGTGAAATGAGAAAGCGCCGCTTTCCCGACGCACTGTTACGAGGAGGATTGAGGACATCGCGGGAAATCTGGAGCTTCAGCTGCAGAACAGAGCGGTCAACTTTGACTTTTTTTCCTTGGCTTTGGATGAGAGCTGCGATGTACGTGACACTGCCCAGCTACTCATCTTCCTACGCTTCTCTCAAGCCAAATGGAGGACAACATTCTCACGCACTTGCCAACACTGAAGGAAGCCACACCATCAGCTGATCACCTCCAGAGGTACTCATCCATGTTAGAAGCACTGCATGGTGAGTTTTCAAGGCGATTTAGACTTCAAAACAGTTGAGAATAAAATGAACATGATCTTTTCCCCATTTACATGCCATGTGGATGATGCACCCAGTGATGTTCAGCTTGAACTCATTGACCTGCAGTCTGACACACTTCTGTCAGAGCACTTTAGGTCAGTCTCACTGCCTGAGTTTTACTCTTCCCTGAAAGAGGAGAACTTTCCACACATCAGGAGACGTGCTCAGAAGATGATGGTCCTCTTTGGATCTACCTACATATGTGAACAGACATTCTCAGTGATGAAGTTCAACAAATCCAGATACAGATCCTCTATCACTGATGATCACCTCTCAGCTGTCCTTCGCATATCCACCTCACACATTGAACCAGATTTCCGTGCACTTGTTCAAGCCCAAGACAGACTGGATTTTTCTCACTGAACAAGTAAAATTAACTGAAAAACAAAAATCAAAAGCACTCATTTCTTTTTGTATAAAGCTGATTCATTTCTTATCTTTAACATACTGTAAAACACCTTTTCAGTATTGGTATATTGAGCAGAATTAAGTTCAACTTATTTTTGATTCGGCCCCCCAACACAGCTCGAGTTTCTGAAGTGGCCCCTTGTAAAATATAATTGCCCACCCCTGTGTAAGACTGGTGTTTTTGTAATGCTTTAGTGGCATCGGTTCACAAGAGCGGCTGAAGAAATCCTACAGTCCAGCATGTATCTTGTTCTTCAGTCCAAGGACTTTGGGGGAAAGCCTTTCACCATCCATTTGCAAGAGCACTTTCTGAATGAATTCATAGTAGTACCTTAGCT